AAGAAGAAAGAGGAGGGAAGAAAGAGGAAGGAGAAGAAGGAAAGAGGGAGGGAGGGAGGGAGGGGGAAAGGAAAGAGGGAGAGAGGGGAAGTGAAGAAAAAGGAGGGAAGAAAAGGGGAAGGGGAAGGGGAAGTGGAATAGGGAGGGAGGAAAAAGAAGGAATGTAGGGGAAAGGAAGGGAGGAAAGAGGAAGGGAAAGAAGGAAGGAAGGATGGATTGAAGGGAAGAGGAAGGAAGGGAGAGAGGAAGGAAAGAGGAAGTAGGGAAGGAAAGGGAATAAAGGAAAGATGAAAAGAAGAGACGGACGGACGGACTTTTAGGAGATGTTTGAGCAGTTCATTGGCAGGGCAGAAAGGGAACTGAGACATTTTTATCTGCTGACTTCAACTAATCATCCACCTATACTTTGACTGCTGAAACCTCTTTTGTAAAGGTAATAAGAAACTATTTCTTTACAGGTATTCGCAGTTTTATCCCGAAGAGGAATTTTGCCACTATAACATGTTTAACCATTATTTCTTTGCTGGAGAGGTAAGGGCTAGTTAAGTTTTGTGAACATTTTATCAAAGCTCTGTCTGGTGCAAGAGGAGTGGGTTATTCCCCCTCTGAGCTTTGTGGAAGTCTTTCTTTTTTCTTTTTTAAATTCTCCCTGCTTTGAAGCTAGTAATCTGTATTTTTTGCCACAAAAGAAGAAGTTTCTCCTTTCTGAACCCAGAATGAGAGGGCAGTGAAAACAATTGGTGGTAGTAACTTTGAGAGGGACTGTGATTTCATATTCTCCTGATCCTGTTTGATGGTTTTAAACAAGGAGTTAAAAAGAGAGTTCAAACTCCTTGGAATGTGCACATGCCAGATTATATCTATAGATGACCATGGGGAGAGTTGAAATGTGAACTCACGTTAAAGTAATGATAAAGCCATATGTATTCTTATATTAATGTAACATTTCATATATGTCTTTTCATGTCACTCACATGCAGCACTTTCAAGAAGAGAAGTTTCTTTACTGACCAGTTGTGACTGTTAGTGACTAACTGATTATAAAATTGACACATGGAGAGGAAGTAATATGTGTATTGCCATGCTTCCTTATTTTTCTTCAAAGCAAGGCACAAAGATTGTTTATTAGAACGACATTTAGAGCAGTGTTTTTCAAACTTGGCGACTTTAAGATGGGTGGGCTTCAACTCCCAGAATTCCCCAGCC